TTGGATGCACGAATAAGGTAAAGCATCACATCACGCTTCATGATGGAACTCCATTTAAACACCGTGCTAGACCAATCCATCCCAGCGACATAGAGGCTGTTCGTAGTCATTTGAGTGAGCTTCTGGAGGCCGGTGTCATTCGTGAGTCCACATCACCTTTCTCTTCTCCTATTGTCGTGGTGCGGAAGAAGAATGGGGATGTCCGGTTGTGCATCGATTATAGGAAGCTTAACCTCCAGACCATCAAGGACGCCTACGCTCTTCCAAAGTTAGAAGAATCCTTCACGGCGCTCACCGTTCAAAATGGTTTTCAGTCTTGGACTTGAAGTCAGGCTATTACCAGATTGCAATGCACGAAGCGGATAAGCCCAAGACTGCTTTTGTGACACCCCTGGGGTTCTGGGAATTTAATAGGATGCCCCAGGGGGTCACTAATGCTCCAAGTACGTTCCAGCGATTGATGGAGAGATGCATGGGCGATCTCCATCTTCGTGAAGTGTTGGTGTTTCTGGATGATTTAATAATCTTCTCCAGTTCCCTTGAAGAACACGAGAGGAGATTGATACGAGTGCTGGACCGGTTGAGAGAGTACGGATTAAAATTGTCACCAGAAAAGTGCAAGTTCTTCCAAACATCTGTACGTTACTTGGGTCATATTGTGTCAGAGAGAGGAGTAGAAACGGATCCAGAAAAGATAAACGCCATCAAATCCTGGCCAATTCCCACTAATCTAAAGGAACTACGCTCTTTTCTGGGATTTGCGGGTATTACCGCCGTTTCATCCAAGATTATTCCACCATTGCCAAACCTCTGAACGACCTCACTCGTGGGTATTTACCTGTACGGAAGGCCAGAAACAAGGCATCACCACCCGCTCAATACCAAAGTCCAAAACAGCCTTTTGGAGAACGTTGGAGTTCCAGTTGCCAAGTTGCTTTCACCACATTGATTGATAAACTAACCACAGCTCCAGTCCTTGGGTTTGCAGATCCATCCCAACCGTACATACTTCACACAGACGCCAGTACAACCGGATTGGGAGCTGCACTCTATCAGGAACAGGAGGGGAAGCTGAGAGTGGTAGCTTATGCAAGCAGAGGCCTGTCTCAGAGTGAAAGTCGTTATCCCGCCCACAAACTGGAGTTCTTGGCATTAAAGTGGAGTGTTACCGAAAAGTTTCAGGATTACCTGTATGGAGCCGTCTTTTACCGTTGTGACTGATAGCAATCCCTTGACTTATATACTCACCTCTGCCAAGCTGGATGCAACTGGTCACCGCTGGTTGGCTGCGCTCTCCACATATTCGTTCAAACTTTGTGTACCGGGCTGGGAAACAAAATATAGACGCAGATGCACTCTCTCGACGTCCTCACCAGGGTTTTGATGAATCGCCTAAAGATCATGAGCTCATACAACAGTTCCTGGAAAATCGTCTTGCCGACTCAAACTCGATTTCTCCAGAAATTGTTAGTGCCATCTGTCAGGGTTGTCTCGTTCGAGCTGCTCATTTTGACAGTCCTGGTCTTGAGGGCATTACGCTGGTTGAGTCCCTCTCCATCACTGCAATGGCAGTCCCTGACAGCTTCGCTACTGAAGATGGTCAGCTGCCTCCAGCCCTGTCTCATTTTCAGCATCAAGGAGGAACAGAGGGTGATGCGACCATTCGAGAACTGGTGCATCAATGGAGACTGGAGAAAAGATCCCTCCAAGGCAAGAACAGAGCTCCATGAATTACCTCTTTTGTTGAGAGAGTGGGCAAGATTGGAGTTGATTGATGGAGTCCTATATAGGAGACGTCAAGACAATCAAGATATTACTTACCAACTTGTTCTCCAGAGTGTCTTCGTTCGGCCGTGCTAAAAGTCTCATGATGAAATGGGCCACATGGGATTGAGCGCACTTTAGACCTTGTTCGCACTAGGTTTTTTTGGCCGAAGATGGCTAATGACGTTGAGCACAAGATCAAAACGTGCGGTCGCTGCGTGCGACGGAAGGCTTTACCTGAAAGAGCTGCTCCACTGCTCAGCATCAAACATCTCGTCCTCTCGAATTAATCTGTATGGATTCCTAAGTCTTGAACCCGACACGAGCAACACCCGTGATATCCTCGTTTTGACTGATCATTTCACTAAGTTTTGCTGTGGCCATCCCAACACCAAACCAGAAGCAAGGACTGTAGCGAAATGTTTATGGGATAACTTCATTGTTTATTATGGAATTCCTGAACGGTTGCATACGGATCAAGTCAAGATTTTGAGTCAAAACTGATTAAGGAGTTGTGTGAGTTGCTGGTATTCAAAAGTGTCGGACGACGCCGTACATCCAAGAGGAAACCCAGTGGAGAGATTTAATCACGTTGTGGGTATGCTGGGTACTTTGGAAGACAAACAAAAATCAAAATGGAAGACTTTGTGTGAAGCCATTAGTTCATGCATATAATTGCACAAGAAACGAAGTAACCGGGTTCACCCCATATGAACTAATGTTTGGCAGAACCCCACGTCTTCCTGTCGACCTAGCTTTTGGCCTACCTTTGCGTGAACCACAATACAAAACTCATTCTCAATATGTGCAAGGGCTTAAGCTACGGTTGGAAGAAAGTTTCCAGATTGCTTCCAAAAATGC